CCCCTAGCCCACCCTGAGCTGAGGACCTCAACATCTCATTTCCCTAGCCGTACTCTGAGCTGGAGACCCCAACATCTCAGTGGTCATCTCCTAACCCCACCTGAGCTGAGGTTCCCAGGATTTCAGTGGATATCCCCAGCCCCACTCTGATCTGAGAACCCCAACATCTCAACAGGCATCCCCTAGCCCCACCCTGAGCTGGGGACCTCAACATCTCATTTCCCTAGACACACCCTGAGCTGGAGACCCCAACATCTCAATGGGCATCCCCTAGACCCACCCTGAGCTGGGGATCTCAAGATTTCAGTGGCTATCCCCTAGCTCCACCCTGAGTTGAGGTACACCCTCCCTTCTCACCACCCCTGACTTAGACCTAGAATTACTTCCACTCCAACCCAGACCTTGGATCCTTTCATCCCCCCAGGATGCAGGGGGCCCCTCCAGACACAGATCTGGGCAGCCCAAAGCCAGCCTTTGGGTATCTCGAGCCGAAGCCTGCTATGAACGCCCCCGGCGGCCCCTACCTGCTGGTGTCCTCATCCTCCGAGTCAATAAAGCTGCTGGACTCCAGCTCGCTGCTCAGCACGGTGGAAGCACTATCAAAGGTGCCGGGCTCGCGGCGACGCTCCAGCTTTGGGTGCCCATTGATCCGAGGGCCTACGGCAGTGGGCGCAGCCGGTCAGGGAGGGATACAGGGCTGATCTCAGCGGCCCACCCCTGGGGAGCTTCCTTCCAATGGCAGCTCGACCACAATGAGACCTACCCTGCTAACCCCGCCAGCCACTCATACTGGTGGACCCCCTAACTCGAAGGGCTTGGAGTGGGGCCTGCTACAGAACCAGAAGAGGGTAGTGGCCTCACAGCCCACAGAGGAACCTCGTCCAAGGAGCAAAGCTTAGTCTTCCAAGCCCCCAAGACTTTGGTATCCCCCCAGCTACCCTGAAGACCCTGGGCAAATCCCTTCGTCTCTCTGGGCCTCAGTTTCCTTATCTGTAAAATGGGACAGTTGGGCTCAGTGGACTCTATCCAGCTTTCATCCTATGATCCTGTGACCTCCTTTTGCAGGGGTCATACAGCATCTCAGAGCTGGGGATGGTGCTGCCCGGTGGGAGGACCCTTACAGGTTGAGTTAGTCCCAGAGGAGGCTGGGAGCTCCCTTCTGGAAGGGCCGCCCCCGTGAGGCTGAGAGGAAGATGATGGATGCCCAGCACTCTTACCATCTTCGTGGCCCTCCCGGTTCCGCCGCCGGTGCCGGTCCCGCCGGTGGCTGACCACAGACTCCGTGCCGGTCTCATTGTCCAGCCCGTCTCGGCTGCTGGCAGCGTTGGGGCTGTGGGAAGGCCCAGAGGTGTGTCACGGACTGTCCACTTGAGCCCCAACCCAGGAGGCAGGAAGGACTTCTGGGGCCCTCCTCTCTCAGGGACAGGCTGTGCCCAATTAAACAGTACAAGGCAAGCCTCAGGAGGCAGGCCATTTCCAGTTTATCCCATCTGTATCTCATTTGTACTGTGCTATTTGCATGTCATTTCCCCATTAGACTGTAAGCTCCTTGAGGGCAGGGAATGTTTTGTTGCCTTTCTTCCAATCCCCAGTGCTCACTTAGCACAGTGCCTAGCACATAGTAGGTACTCAATAAATGTTTATAGCTGACTGACTGGCTTTGGAGCCAGAGGAACTGAGTTCAAATCCCAGCTCTGACACCTGGGCAAGACATTATGAACTTTCAGGGCCTCAGTTTCCTCATCTGTAAAATGATCATGCTCCATGATATCTATGAGCCTATGAGCCTACGAAATGGGAAAGAGAATGAAGCTACTGGCCTGGCCAGAAGAGGGCAGTGTAGACCAGTATAGAGATCCAGGTACTCAAGGCCTCTGGTTGGCTGTTAATTCAGGGGCAGGGCTTAACCCTTCCCCTGCAGTCCAGATGGGCAGGATCAGGAAACACCAGCCCAAGGGAATAATTGGGGGGGGGGGGGGGGAGGCGTGGAGGAGAGGTGGAGCCCAAACCAGGGAATTCTGCTGCATGAAACTTTCCCCCAGTTTGGGAAGACAGCAGGGATATTGGAGACCTCTGGATGGAGGGTGGGGAGGTGTTCCCCTAACCCAGCATCTGGCTGCTCTGTATTATAACTGATCCTTGTTGCTAACCAGGAGCTGAGCTCAGTTGTTTCTAAATTGCTGACAGGCTCCAAGTGTCGGCAAAAGACCGATCACCCCATCCCAGTTATCCTTCCTTCTGGTGGGATCCTCAGTGTAAGGTGATAATGTCACCACCATGGGGGTATTTGAGGTACTGCCCCTTCCTAAGCTGAGGCCTTGTTTGTAGAACCGAACTGAAGGTAGGGAGAAGAGGTTCTCTGAGTCCCCCCAGGACTCCTGTGGTAGGATCCCACAGGCATGCCTCCCCCCCAAAGATGACCCTTTTTCATCTTCAATATTTACAGATGCAATTTAATTCCAATATCAAAGACCGGTCAAGAGACAGGAGTCAGGACTGCAATTTCAAACCCCCAGCTGGGACAGTCTCATCCAGGGAGGCTCAGACAGTGTCTCACCACGACAGAACCCCTAGCCTTCCCCCGACTATGGCCATCCCTTCATCACGGCCCCATCACCTACCTGCCCCAAACCCCTGAGAGAATGAGGGAGCCCTTACTGAAAGGAGGGTGGCCGGGAGTCCCCAATGCCCCCGGTCCGTTCAATGGGCGGGGGCAGGTCTGTGTGGCTCTCGGTGCACTGAGATCCAGCATCGGAGTGGGAATTCTCCGCCAGGACCAGCTGCAGAGGAACAAGAGACTCAGACCCCCAAAAGCCCACCCTTGCCCCAAGCTCCTGATTATGTAAGCCCCTGGCACGAAATCAGAAACAACCCACCCCTCCCCCAATACAGGACACCCTCACAGAGCCCCGTACTCCTTGGGATGTCAACCCCTGCCGCTAGGTCCCCAGGGTCATTCCTGTTCCTTCCCCAGGCCCCTGGACCCCACTCACCCAGGAGACCACTCTTCCATTAAAACAGGGTAGCTTGGCATTGTCATCAGAAATCTCTTCCTTTACCACCCTGAGAAGCAAAGGAACCAGTGAGACAGAGGAAGCGGCCATCTAAGCACCGCGAAGCCCGGCCTTGGGGTCCCCAGCCCCAAACACAAGGGGCAGCTTCTCTCAACCCAAAGGGGGCTCCTGGCCTCCAGTCGGTCCACAAAGGAGACACTCTTGCCCTTGGCCCTGGGCATCTTCTCTGGCTGCCTGCCCTCCCTGCCTCTTCTTCCCCATTTCTGCCTTCTGGAGCCCTCAGCTTCCTTCATGTCCCAGCTAATATTCCACCTTCTATAGGAAGTCTTTCCCAGTCCCTCTAAATTCCAGTGCCTTCCCTCAACCAATTAGATTTCCAGTTTAGCCTGGATAGAGGGGGTTTAGACATCACTGTTTGCATGTGATCTTCTCTGTAGACTCTGAGAGGAGGGGACTGTCTGTTGCCTTTCTTTGTATCCCCCACACTTAGCACAGTGCCTGCCACACAGTAGGCACTCAATACATGCAGACAGATCATCCTACTACAGCCAAGAACAGGTAAGGCCTTCCCTGGCCAATCCCGCCTTGCTCCAAGATTGTTCAATGGTTACTCCCCTTCTCCATCCTGCTCGGGGACTTCAGCCCTCCCTCCAAAATGAGGCTCCCTCACCCTGGAATGATCCCCTCTCAGTTACACACATACACACACACCCTCAGCTCCTCATCTATCAGCTCATTTGTCCTGCTGAACCAGCTCAGAGGAGCAGGAAAGGCCACAGACCAAAAGATCAGGAGGTAGAGACTGAGCAGACACAGAAGCGTAGGATTCCAAGGTGGAAAAACGTGGGAGACACTGACCCAAGCAAGACTGCCTGCCACAAGAGCCTCAGGGACAGCCAGCCGCCCCTTCTCCGTGCTCATCCTTCCTGCCCTCTGCATTCCCTTCTGCAGGAAGCTTACCTTCTGCTCTTGCATGCATCCCTCCCTCTGTCTCTCTCTCTCCCTCCCTCTCTCTGTCACTGTCTCCCTCCCTCTCTGTCTCTGTTTTTCTCTCTCTGTCTCAGTGACCTCCTTGTCTCCCAAGGATTCAATTGTCCCTCCCAGTCAGGTGATTCTCAGATCTACGTTAACGTTCAGCCCCAGTCTCTCTCCAGCCCCACATCACCAACTGCCTGTCAGACACTTCCAACTAGATATACCACTGGCATCTCAAACTCAGCCCATCCAAACAAATCTCATTCTCTTTCCCCCAAACCCTCCTCTCTTCTTCCACCTTTCCACCAAGGGCACCACCATCCTTCTAATTACCTGGGTTTGAAGGCCTGGCTGTTTCCCCTCCCTCTGCCCCCCACATCCAATCAGTTGTCAAGAATTGTGCATGGAGATCTGACCTCTCTCTCAAGGGTCCCCTTCACTCTGCTCCCCCAGCCACCACCCCAGTCCAAGCCCTCATGACCCTTTGCTGAGACTATCACAATAACGTTCTCCCTGGTCTCCCAGCTTTCCAGTCCATCCTCCACATGGCTGCCAAAATGGATTTCCTAAAATACGGACCTCGCCATGACCCTCCTATGGCTCCTTATTACCTCCATGGTCAAAGACAGACTCCTCAGCCTGGCGCTGCCCACCCTTCTCACCCTTGGGCCAAATGCCTTCTTACACACGCAGTAGAGTTCAGCCAAACTTACTTCCCTCCACTTGGCCGTCAAAGTGACCTTCCCGAAGCCCAGGCCTGCCCACGTCACCCGTCTACTCAGTAAACTCCCATGGCTCCCTGGCACCTCCAGGATCCAACAGAAAAGCCTCTATCTGGCATTCAGAGCCCTGCCTAAGCTGGTCACTTGCTCCTTTCCCCGTCCTCCTGTGCCCTACCATGTGACACTGGCTTCCTTGTTCTTCCACAGACAAGACCCTCCATCTCCCAGCTCTGGGCATTTTCCTTGGCTGTCTGGAGTGTTTTCCCTCCTTGTCTCTGTCTCCCGGTTCCCCTGGCCTCCTCCAGGTCTGACCCCAGAGCCACCCTTCTAAAGGAAGCCTTTATCAACTCTGCTAACACCCTCTGGCAAGCATTTCCAATTTATCCTCCATCTAGTTCATCCATAGTTATAACGTCTACCCCGTTGGACTGGGAGAGTGGGGACTGTCTATCGTCTTCCCTTAGCACCATGCCTGGCATATGGTAGGTGTTTAGTAAATGCTTGTGGACATAACTCGGCTTTCTCCTCACTCCTCACCCACGACTCTCCATCTCTCAGTCCATACCTGGAATGCACACCCTCCTCCCCTCTGCCTTCTGGGATCCTTCACTTCCTTCTCTTACCCTCTCCATGAGGCTTCTTCTGATCCTCTACTGCCACCGCCTCTTAAGATGACATTTCATTTTCCTTTTGGTCTTCACATCTTCAGTCCCTAGCATGGCACTTGGCACAAGGGAGGTGCCTAATAAAGCTTGTTGGCTGGCAATACCACCTGTCCTGTGCTTGAAGCCCGCAGAGGACGGGGAGCTCACCACCTCCTGAGACAGCCTGCTCCAGTCTGGGACAGCACTAACTCTTCAGAAGATTTTCCTGACCTCTCTGCAACCTCCCCCCAATATTCCTGGTCCTGCCCTCTCAGGATAAGTACAGCCAACCTAATCCCCCTTCCATGTGACAACCCTACCAATATGAAGACAGCTGACAGCCACTCTCTTCCCCCACCCTAAGCCTTCTGATCTCCAGGTCTTTCAACCTATTCCACACTGACATGGAGTCAGGGCCCTTTCCCACCCTGGTTGCCCACCCTGGTCAATGCCCTTCCTAAAATGGGGTGCAATCATGGCTTTCCTAGACCTAGACATCACGCCTCTCTCATAAGGCAGCCAAGAAGGGGATACACTTTTTTTTTAAGCCATTACTAAGATCCTCAGATCTTTTTCAGACAAACCACTATTGGGCAACAACTCCCCCATCCTCATTCGTTCATTGATTCATTCAATGGGCATTTTCAGAGCACTGAAATTATGTGCCAGGTACTCACTGCACTGAGGGTAGCTAAGTGGTGCCATCGTGCATAAAACACTGGGCCTGGAGTCAGGAAGACTCATCTTCCTGAGTTCAAATCTGGCCTCAGACACTTACTAGCTAAGTGACCTTGGGCAGATCATTTAACCCTGTTTGCCTAAGATTGCTCATCTGGTAAATGAGCTGGAGAAGAAAAAGGCAAACCACATCAGTAACTTTACCAAGAAAATCCCAAATGGGGTCACGAAGAGTTGGACGTGACTGAAATGACTCAGCAACAGCTCACCATGTTGGGTGGACGCTTCTTAACACTTTAAGAAAACATCAATTTATACCTATGCTTTCAGGCGGTTTCTTACCTAGCCTTAATCACTGAATGGGCATTGCCTCAGTCAAACTGAGACCTGGGAGAGACCTTAGCTTAAAAAGGCCAAGGTCTCCCACTACATCTGGCCATCTCCAGTTGTCCTGGTCTACATCTGGCCACGTGACCCAGATGACTCCAGAGGTGAAAGTGAGGCTGGTGACCTAGCACAGCTCTGCCTCACTGTAATCCAATTCACTTGGATGTCACGGCATCACCTCCCTGATGTCATGGTCCTCTTCAAGAATGAAGGACAAAACAACAACATTGGATACACAAAGAGAAAAACCCAGCAGTCCCTGTGTCCTCAAAGAGTTCATATGCAAATAAAATCTTCTCCTTGTAAAGTTGTTTTTTTTTCCCTTAACTCAAACATAATTTCTATTACTACCTATTATATTTCATCTTGGCCTTGCGCTCTACTCTGCTGGAATCTTTCTAGACCCTGGCTCAGGGATGAAGGGTCTTGGTTGTCCACTTAGCTTTGCGTCATCTGCCAGTTTGCTAAAATCTTCAAACTATGCCTTTGTGCAAGTCTCTGGTAAGAAGCTTAACAGCACAGGGCCAAGGACAGGTCTCTGCAGCACACCATGAGAGATCTGCCTCCATTGCTAGGTGGTCCAGGGGATGGAAAACGGCTGATCTGTGAAAACTGGGAAGATCTGAGTTTGAATTCTGTTTGTGACACTTAACCAGCTATGTTAACCTCTCTGTGCCTGTAAAGTGAGGGGCACTGTGCCACACACCTCACAAATATCTCATTTGGTTCTTGGGAGATAGGTGCTCCCATCTGTTTTACAGATGAGAAAATTAAGGAAGACAGAGGTTAAATGACTGGCTCAGGATCACACAGCTAGTGAGTGTCTGAGGCCAGACAGACTCCATCTAGTTTGTCCTGTCCTGACAAGTGTCAGGACTGAGGTCAAATGTGCCCCCTCGCCTCAGGGTCTCTGCTTTACTTTGCCTGTTAACTATGTTTGGTGTATTTGTAGAGGGATGTGTGAGACCACAGACTTGCCTTGAGTTTTACTTCATTCATGGCTGGACTGTCTCTGGAATTGTCCGTCAATAAACATTTATTAAGCACTTACTATATGTGTGTATGTATAGATGTAGATAGATACAGAGAGAGAGAGAGAGAGAGAGAGAGAGAGAGAGAGGGAGAGAGAGAGAGGGAGAGAGAAAGAGAAGGAGAGAGACAGAGAGGGAGAGAGACAGAGAGGGAGAGAGAGAGGGAGAGAGAGAGAGGGAGAGGGAGAAAAAGAGAGAGGGAGAGAGAGAGGGAGAGGG